TGACTATACATTCACTTACTACTGATGACCAACCATCCCCTGAACACTGACTATACATCCAATAGCCACTGATGACCATCCACAGACCACTGACTTTACATTCACTTACCACTGATTACCAACCACCCTCTGAACACTGACTATACATCCAATAGCCACTGGTAACCATCCACCACCACTAGCTATCCTTCTACTGACCATTATTCCACTGACCTACGACAGACCACCTATGAACAACCTCTTGTTCAACCTTTTTCTCTATCAATTATGTTATATTGATACAGAATTCTCTTCCTACCTCCAGTACTTGGACGGTCCTAATACTGAATTCCTTAAGTGATACTTGACTAAAAGATGACACATATGATTAATACATTTGAACAATACCAAGAGTGGATCCAGAAGTTTTTGACGGGGAGTCCAAAACCTACATTCAATATGTGATGTCACTTTTAATTCCATACTAATGCAACCATATAGACTTTTCAATCCGTGCTACTATTGGTATACATTTGACTTTCAATCTATAGACCTGCATATGCAAGTCATCATGACTTTCTGTGTCTGGGGGGGTTGGGGTGGTGGGGGCGCTCAGGACCCCAAGACCCCTCCCCTGGATCCGTCCTTGAATACTTACATAGATTACAAATAGAAACCCAGAGTAACTATGGAATACCCCACAAAAAAAGAGGAGGTGGAAAAATAAATGCTACAAGGTTGTTCAGCTGCCTATATGGGATTTTACATCTCAGGAAGGAACGTTAATTTCAAATTGAGCATGAGGGCTGCCTGTGTCTTAATATTTTCCCTAGTGTTTTGAAAACCACATATACTTTTATAAAGTGGCTACACGTCAATGAGTGCTACGTGTCAAATCGAATGTGGGCTGCTTGTGTCTTAATGCTGACGCGTTGACGCGTAGCCACACTAATCAGTTAAATTTGAAGTACGGGGTATTCAATAGTTGTACCAAAAACCCAGTAGACCTTATTATCATTACACCTTTTGCTGTTCATTAACAGAAAATGTACATTCATTTGTGCCAATAGTTGTATCAATAACGTGTAATGTACTTTCATCAACACCACAAGTAACATCATTAGCGCGGATCAACTTTCAATAACGACAATTGAATATGCGTGTACATTCATAGGCATCAATGGACAATCAATAGCGCATTCGTACATTCATATGCGCGGAATGTATTTTCTTGTGCGCGAAATTCAACTTCAATAACACCAAATGACAGACAATTGCATTTATGGACAATCATTTACCCAAAAGTAAAAATTCATTAGTGCTATTAGCATAATCATTGACAATCTATAACGCGCTTGGACAATCATGA